CTAATCAGGCAAACATTTGTCAGATCACAGAAGCTGTCCAGCATTGTTTTCACACATCAGGAGATTAAAATCAAGTTAGACCATCCTTGTGGTCATTCATCTTACAAACAAACTCGAGATGAGGTTGGAGACACTATGCAGGGGTGCACTGGTCAATTGACTGTCTTCTTTCTTAACTTGGTTTGGTGAAATTAATTTTTCTGAAGCACTTGGCAGCTTTCAGCTTTCATAATTGCTGTCTAGATTTACTTAAGAAATGAAATGACTCTTCTTCGGTGACACTGAGTCTTGCTCTTAATTGCTCCAAAATGTCACTAAGAAGTACCTGTTGTGAGAAGAGGAAAATTTCTTCCAGCACTTGGCTAGTTAGCTAACACTCTCCATCGGACATCAACCATGTCCCAGTTGACTGGAGGCAACACATACATGTTACAGCTATAAATAGAAAGGCTCCACAAGTATGCACGAATCCTCCTCTTCTACCACACATGTTCCTGTTCTGTGATCTTTTCTTGATCTCTGATAATCGGCCCTTTCCTCCCTATCGTGGCAAGAAGATGAGAGCCATATGTTCACGAATAGGAACAGGAATGCATGCTCCAGTGTTTCTTGGCAATAAAATAAGGTACAACTTTTTAAAAGCCAGTTAGATTAATATTGAATGAAGAATGTGCAGGGATGAAAAGGAAACAGTTGTATTGTAATGCTTTGAAATTAGCTGGTCCCAAATCCCTTATGACAGAGAGAAATATATGTCTGATGAGGCCAGTGGTACCAGACTAAACTCAGTGATAGGGATGATTTAGAATCTGGCAATGTGAAGTTTTTAGTTCTGTGTGTAAATTTTAACACCCCCACGTCCCCTAGATTTGAAAGAGAAAAGGCACTGTAGCCATCCCAGTCAACCTTCAAAGGGAAGCTAATCAGAAGAGGGCCAGAGGGGAGAGAGCACAGCTCCATGTCTAAGCTGTCAGACCTGAATTTAGTCTTCCCCAGAAGAAAAGATTACTGACTGTTTTCCTTGTAGCCACCACATATCTGGGAATGCCCCCCAATGCTAAATTTATTCTTCAGGGTCTGAGGGCCAGAAAAAAGACAAAAGAGAAGCTTTTCTCATGGTCGCTCAGAGGAAATGAAAACTATGGCTGTAGTTGAAAAAAATCTCCCAAACTAAGAAACACATTATACAATTGTGTCCAGGTTACTTTTGAGGTTGAAGCAGAGATGCCTGACAACAGGCCAATACAGAATATTTCACCAACAGTTTAGCTTAGCTGTGTTTAGCTGAAACTCTAACACCAAGATATTAGGGAAGAAAGAAGAATCACTCAAAGACATGTGATCCCAGTAGACTTCTATGGTGCTTACTGCAACAAAAGCAGTGTTCTCGGAGCCTTGGGCTCTGGGCTGGAAGCACCTGAGCAGTTAAGGGCTTGGCTACTGCAAGCATTTCTTCACACTGCATCCACTTCTAAATCCATGGGCCTACTATGGACGATTAGCTAACCAGTAATCTCTCACCTAGCAAAACCATATTTAATTCCATGGTAAGACATTGTTTTCTTTATCTTCGTGTATCTGAAAATGGAGTACATCTTATTTTCATAGCCTATTATTAATTAGTTTGTTATATTTCTTCTTGATGAGAAACAAAATGGTCCATTTTATAATAGATTAAATAAAACAACAGAATAATAATGATATCAATATCAATTCCATTTTTAAAGAACTTCTTTGCGCGAGTTACAGTGCTAAGTATTTTATAATTAACATCTTTTCTGGGGGTGGGAGGCAGTGTCTCCCTGTGTAATCCAGGCTGACTTGAACTCATGATCCTCTTGTCTCAGCCTCTCAAGTATTGTGATTATAGGCATGTGCCATCATGCTCAGCTCTATAGTTTCTCATTTAAGTAATACAAAAGTATTAGTATTAAAGATTTTGGGGCTGGAGAGATGGCTCAGTGGTTAAGAGCACTGCTCTTGCTGAGTACTCAGGTTTGATTCCCAGCACCCACATGGCGACTACGAACCATCCTTAACACCAGTTCCAGGGGAATCCGAAGCCCTCTTCTGACCTCCAAGGCATTGCACTCACATACATGCAGGCAATACACTCATACACATAAAATACAAATAATAAATAAAATATTTTTTAAAAGATTTGGACTTGTTTTATGTATTAGAGCTGAGATCAGGAGATTTAGCTCATTTGAACTAAGGCCTCACAGAACCTAGGTCTCTCTGAATACAGACTGTCCTCGTTCCACGATGCCACATTGCTTCTTAAGTAACAACTGCTTCTTCTATCCATTTCCAGAAACAGCAACAATAGTGGTATTGTGGAAGGAAATCCCCCAGAACAAAGAAAAAGAAATGTAGTGTGATCTGTGCCTGAGAGCACATATAGAGTTCTGCATGTCATGACCTTGTAACATAGAGCACCCAATAAGGATGTGTGTGTCACCATATATGAGAGACAAAGCAACTGAACTGTAAAGAGGAGCTAGCAGAGGGTGAAAAAAGGCTGGGTCTTTCTCTGTTCAAGGCTCTGCTTTTGAGAGCTATCTCATGAGCCAGGTGCTAACATGAATAAACTACTTTCTGGAGGAAGGAAATGCCTTGGTGACTTGTCTTTTTGCACACAGCACATAAAACAGTGTAATCATAACAGCAGTAAGCATTTATGTGGCCAACACTATGCATGTGTGCCTGTGAATGCATGTGTGTGCATGTATTCATGTGTGTATAAACTCATTTAATACAAACTACCTATAAAATAGGATCATTACTATTACTATTTTACAGAAAAGGAAACTGAGGCACAGAAGCATTTCCAAAGTGGCAGGGCCAGTGTTAAGCCAGGCAGACAGTGTGGCTCCAGTTTTGACCAACCAACATGAGGATTAGTAACAAGCATCAGAGATTCTTCCCAATATGAGCCCCTAACCCAAGATGCACAATCTATTCATCTGATTTCAAGAAAAAGATCAATTTATATTCCAGTTTATTGTTGCCCACACCTGTCCCCAAATCCCACATACCTCATATAGAACAGGCTTTTTGTAAATTGTAAAGGAAATGTATATAACATTGACCCTGCAGGGGATTTTATTAGACTATCAGGATTTAAACACACAAAATAATTAAACTAAATTATGGGGTTAAAAAGGGGAATAGAAATAACATATTTAGCATTTATTAGAGCTGGGCATTTTGCTTATGCAGTACATATATTCCTCACCATCTACAGAGTATCTATAGTTTTTATTTATAGACGACAGTGAGTGGGGGAATGAGAGATGGCTCAGCAGTTAGGAGCACTGGATGCTCTTGCAGAGGATCCAGGTTTGATTCCCAATAACCACATGGCAGCTAACAACCATCTGTAACTCCAGTTCCAGGGGATCAGATACTCTCTTTTGGCTTCTGCAGATATTGCATGCACGTGGTACACTTACATACATCCAGGCAAAACATTAATACATAAAAATATAAAAATAAGTAGGAGCTGGAGAGATGCCTCAGCAGTTAAGAATACATACTGCTCTTCCAGATGACCTGAGTTCAAGTTCCAGCAAACACACTGGGTGGTTAATAACTGCCTGTAACTCAGCTCCTTGGGAATCTGATGCCTCTGGCCTCTGCAGGCACCTGCATTTACATGCACATACCCACAGACACACATATATGCACATAATTCAAAATAAAAATAAAATCTCTAAGAATAAATAAAACTAAAAATTTGTAAAAGAGAAGACAGATGCAACATAACATAAAAAAGGGGATGGAACAACAGGGCAGGACAGGTACACCACACCAGGTCTGTGTGGTGTCCAAGTGGATACACCAGAAACGCTCAAAATGTACTCTTCTAGAGTCACAGGAGAAGCTTGTGTTGGAGTCTATGTGCCTTGAGGATAGAGAGGACATGCCGGGAAACTGCAGAAAAAGCATGACAGCGTAACTTGCCGTGTTGAGGAGGATAATGTCTGTGAGGGAGTGAAAGCATTCCACAGGAGCAGGAGGCAAGCTTGGCTGCCATCTCACTTTATAATGCTGGGTGCTACAGGACCACGTGGATGCTTTGAAACTTCAGTCTCTGCCAGACATTGTAAAGCCTGGGATGAGTCTGGAGACAATATCAAAATTAGCAAAAGGAAATGATTATTGTGTGAGCATCAAAGAGCACATCTATTAAAATAAAGCTGAGATTAACAGAAAGTTAAGTCAGAATTTGGCAAATCATGTAGAAAATTTGGCCAATTCCCCCCTCCCAAATCTGTTACGTTAAAGAAAAATCATCAAAGATCTTCAAAAATAATGTCTAGGCAATTGAAAAAGCCAGCATGTGATTTACAATATGCCAATGAATTTGAAGAGCTTTGGAAAACCATTTATTTAAACCTCATGAAGACAATGATTTAAAGCATGGAATGGAGCCATCAGCGTGGGCAGAAGTGAGAAGGTTATTGCACAAACAGCCTGTCTTCCCTTGCAGCGAAGAAACAGAAGCAGGGAGTGTCTGCAGTCAATCAGTGCGTAAATGACCATACCACCCTAAAAATGAAGGTCGGCACCGGACTTTTCAGAGTCAAGATGAATTTCTCCTCCCTCCTCCTGCCTCCTCCACTCCTCAGGACCCCGCACCACGTTGTGATAACTGGGGATAGAAGCCGCAATGAGCTGGAACTGAGATTTGGAACAGAATATTGTGAAATCAATACGCCAGCTGGAGCAGAAAGTCCAAGATACATGAATTTCTTGGAAAAATGACCCTGTCTTTTGGTAATTATTACTGTGAATGAGAATTAATTCAAAATCTTAACCCAGAACAGTGTAGTACGTCTCCCCCACCTCGTACAGATTTTAAAGAGGGTTGTTGCTGAATGACTTCGAGGGGTTCATGCTATAAAACAATATCAAGTTTTGTTGTGTATTATCCACTGGAGTTTCCAAATTTTCTTATTATAAAGATTTTTCTTTTCCAGAAAGAATGTTGTATACTCACTTAGCAGGAGAGTTATCACGGTCCCAAAGATGGTTTTCCCAGGGTGAGACTTACCCCTTGCACTTTGGATGTGCTGACTCCTGAGATTTCTCCAAATGTGGGAAACTGCACTATACTACACAGTTTTTGGTAGTGGGAGACTGTGTTCACACTTCTCTCTATTATAAAAAAAAATGTGATAAATTTATTTCTATGGAGTTATTTCAGAATAGAAACACAATATATTTAGAATCTACTAATGCTTATACTTTAAGCATCTTCATATCGGACTATAAATTCAGCCTAGAACATTAGCTCAATGAATGAGCACCCCATCATAGAACCACGACAAATGACTGAAGTGCTTATGACGCATTCATGATTAATTTCTTTGAGTCTTCTACAGTAAGGAGCCCAACTAATTCTGCCAAATTCCATAGTAAATAGAGTAAAAGAGTCTTTCTTCAAAGCGATTAGGGTCCCATTTTATAACACAGAAGTTGGTTTGATTGTGACCTGGAGTTTGGACACTCGGAATCAGACATCCATTTCACTTCTTCCACACCTAAGAACTTCAATTATTGCATCCACATTCCTGCTCATAACTGGTCTTTGCAAAGTTTGTAGTGAAGTATATTGTATTTCACCAACTTTCTCTTGAGGCTGAAGATCTTTGTTCTCATAGCTATGCCCATTTAACAATATTGCCCATTTAACAATATTGTCCTGGACATCCTTGACCTCTGAGTTTCAGGTTTTGTTATAATTTTCATTTTTTTAACTCATCATTCAAACATGCTATGTGTCTACTGTTGTGCCTGACCCTGAGTTAGACACTGGAGGTAGAAAAATGAACACTTTACATAGAAATTTAACCCTTAAGAAAGTTAAAACGTATGGGGGGAATTAGATACAAAACCAAGAGTTATAGTGATAGGCTGGAGAGATGGCTTAGCCCTTAAGAGCACTGGCTACTCTAACAGAAGATCCAGGTTCCAATCCCAGTACCCACATAAGTCAATACTCCAGTTCCAGGCAATCCAATACCCTCTTCTGACCTCTATGGGCATTGCATGACACAGGTGCACTTATGCACATGCAGGCATAACACTTTTTATTGTAGTGATAAGTGACTCCCACTTTGTTGAGTGATAAGAAGGAGCCTCACTGCATATGTTGACTACTAGTAGTGGAGGGTCCTAATATTGTTAGAGTGACTTTTAAATTCTAAAGTGTGCCTGGCACATAGTAGGCTTAATAAATGGTACCTGAATCTGAAAATATGCTATTTGGATGATGGGTAAACTGTCAAGGAGCTGGACTAGACGTTTCTAAATTTTATTTTAGTCCACTTACTTAGGAAATTAATAACAATCTTCTTACTAGTAGGCTGACAGAAAAGTGAAGAATTTGCTTTACCTCAAGGAGAGAAAAAATTTTTAAGAATTCCAATTTAATATATCTCTTTGATGTACATAAACCTTAAAGAGTTCATTTAAGTAATGTTGAGATATATTTGTTTTCACTCTTTCTTACTCAAGTTAAATCCTTTAACAAGTAATTTTTTCTGTTCAGAAAGAGGTTTAAATTTGAAGGAAATGATTTTTAAATTTATTTTTATGTGTATTAGAGTTTTGAATGCATGTATCTAACTGCACCCCTGTTGTGCAATGACCATGGAAGTCAGAAGAGGGTATTGGATCCCTTGGAACTGGAGTTATGGATGGTTGTTAGCTGCCATGTGGGTGCTGGGAATTAAACCCAGGTCCTCTGCAAAAGCAGCCAGTGCTCTTAACCACTGAGCTATTTATTTCTTTAGCCACAAGGCAAATGATTTTTAAAAATATTTACTTATTGACTGATTTTTATGTGTATCTGTTATGTGCCTGCCAGAGTTGGTGTGCACCATATGTGTGTGTAGGTGTCCACAGAGGCTAGAGGGCATCCAACTTCCCGGAACTGGAGCTACAGGCATTCATGAGCTCCTTGATATGGGTGCTGAGACCTCAGCTTAGGGTTTTTGCAAAAGCAGTAAGCACTCATAATTACTGAGCCCCATAAGGCAAATGATTTACCTGACATTGAGCAAGAGATTTAAATTAAACAAATTTAATTCAATCTCATACAATTTATCATATTTTTGTTTGGTTAAAAAATGTAAGGAATCTGGCCTGATAAGTGAATGGAGCTTGGTCTAAGACCATCTATTGAATAGGGTGACTATTCTTCTTCAAACTAAACTACAAATGGAATAGTACAGACCTGGAAGGCAGCCCAGGCAGCTCCATGATTGCTCCTGATGAATTCTAAATCTGTGGGGAAAATACTGCTCTTGTTGGTGCAATATCTGCTCTGATGTCATTGCCTTGGATGGGATATCTTGTGTTATTGGGGCTATCACTAAGATCAAGAAATGAAAACAAAATACAGAAGGAAGTGACTTCTTTGGGGACATGCTATTTCTTGGAAACAGAGCCAAAAGTACATTTATCTGACTCATAGGATTCGTTTTGAGTATAGTGTGGCAAGGAAAAATGTCAAGATGCAGAGGAAGGGTGAGAAGAAAGAAATCCATCCAGAATGAGAGTGGGAAACCAGGCTGAAGAAGAGAGATTTATAGAGAATTGTTTGCAGACAAATTTAGAGTGGCTAAGAATACTTTTATAGAAATTTCAATGAAATACAATCTCTGGGAAAGCTTTTCTTTAATTGTTTGTTTGACTTCTTCTGAATGAAAATCCCCAAACACTGAAAATCAAAATTTCAGAAGCTCAGCCCTGACAGGGATAACATACTAGAATGAAAAATCAAATCAAGATTTAAAAAAAATTACACATTGGGAGACTGGGTCAAAACAAAGAATGCAAAATGTAGGATTACTAACTTTATATATTCAACATTTATATTTATTAAAATTTATTTTTAGTATTTAATGTGTATGAGTGCTTTGCCTGCTTGTATATAGGTGTACCCACCATGTGTGTACAATGCCCAGGAAGGTCAAAAGAGGGTGATAGAGGGCAATAGATACAATGGAACTGAAGTTGTGGATGGCTGGTCACTCCATGTGGGTGCTGGGAACTGAACCCAGGTCCTCTGCAAGAATGCATGGAAAGGGCGGGGAGGGAGGATAAGACAGTAAGAGAAAGAGGAGACATAAATAGTGCCTAGCTAGTATAAAAAAAACAGAGGGAATTTTATTAGTCCAAAACCTATTGAAAAATTACATATACAATATCCCTACATGAGTCTGTGAGTATAGCTGAAGACTACTAAGAAGAAACAGTGACAGACAGAAGAAACCTTCCTTAGAAGGTTGCCGCAGTCCTTGATTGCCTCCCAGATCTCGATGAGTAACCAGTGCTCTTATACTTTAAGTCAGCTCTCTAGTCCCCTACATTCTTTTTGGAAACTACTTATTTTTAAATTTTTTACTTTGTGTGTCTTAGTATTTTGTGTGCATGTATGTAAGTGTACTCATGAGTACAATGCTTGGGGAAGCCAGAGGAGGCCAGAAGAGGATGTTGGATCCCTGGACCTAGGGCTATGGACAGTTGTTAGCTCTCCAGTTCTGATATTTGCATTTCTCATCTAGTGGTAGAGATGCTGCCTCTCTAGCTTTGTTCAGAGTCCTTGACAATGACACACACAGACTGCTCTGTGTTCTAACTAAGGGGCTTGCAAAAGCTGGACTTAGTGGATTTTTAATGCCTGCCTCACTTAATACCTGAAATTAGTGCAGGTCAGGTGTCACAGTCTGTTAGACGAGAGACTTCTCCATGTGCCCAAGATCATACATCCTACTGCTTAATCTGGGGGAAAACTAATCTTCATAAATTTTGGTTTCATCACTTAAAATATGTGAGTTTTAATAGAATATAAGTCAGAGGACTAAATCAGGAGGCACGCACTGTGTATTTTCTTTCTTTCTTTTTTCATACTGTGTACTTTCAAGCAGACATTGGAAACTAAGTGACTGCACTTTTATCATACCTCTGTGAATTTTTGTTTATTTGACTTCAAGCAAGTTGCATCTTCTTTTGTCTCATTTTCCTCCTCTACCTCACAGATCATAGCTATTAAATATGTGAGCAGAAACAAAGCATTTAGAACACTGATTGCCATATAAAAATCTAATAAATGATAACGATTATTTAATTGATCAATAACTATAGGCTTTTATAATGTGTCTTTGTTTTTAAAATTATTACTAACCCCCACATTATCTTTCTAAGCACCATTATTTTAATGACAATTACCTAAGACATATCTAAATATTTTAAAAATAAGGTCTTAAATATTACTGAAGTAATTTTTTATGTTCTTTTCATTTATTCTCTTTTCTCTAAAACTTTCTTGCAAATTACTTCATGACCTAATTTTGGGTTTCCATAATGAAAATACATGTATATTATTCTGATATTTATATCTTCAGTAGCAGATAACTGAAATCCATTGGCCAGCCATATTTTTATCTATACCTCTATTTTGTTAATAATTTTACTGTAACTTAAAATTTTTTAATTACAACTTTGAAAATATTTATGTATTAAGAAACAAAAGCCCTACTCTGGCAACTTTATAATTCAGAAAACTATCTGGATGATGAGAAATGATTGAATAATGAACTAAATTAGCCTCGAGCAGAATTTGAAGGATGTGACCTGCATGTGATATACTGGAGATTCAATTTAAGTCTGGGTTAGGTGTTCTTCTACCATTAAAATTGTGTTTTACTCTAATTATTCATTCATTTTAATTGGTGCTGTTCAGCCTACTAATTAAATTCAACTCAACCAATACTTGTTTAAAATAGCCCTTACCATTTGTAAAGATCTGACCAAAAATACTCCAGAGGAAAGTTGAAGTAAACGTGATTCTATCCTTTAGGAAGTTTGCATTTACAAAGTGACCAACTGTCCAATTTTTTAATATCGAGCTCTTGTTTTAGATAGTTACACATGTGCAGAAAAATTGCAAAAGTACTACAAAATTCCACACATTGGATCCTTCTTTCCCCATTATTGGCATCTTAAATTAGGCTGTTACATTTGTTACAATTGACAAATGATATAATATTGATTCATCCTTAGCCCTCTTTACCCTTTATGTAATGTCTTTTATTCTTATCTAGGATCCAATATAAGGTGTCACATTATATTTAGAATAATATCTCCTCAA